AAAATAGGGTTGTTTGTTTGAGGATTCAAAGAGGGAGGGAAAAAAAATAGGGTTGTTTGTTTGAGGATTCAAAGAGGGAGGAAAAAAGAAATAGGGTTGTTTGTTTGAGGATTCAAAGAGGGAGGAAAAAAGAAATAGGGTTGTTTGTTTGAGGATTCAAAATAACAGGAGACGGAATTGTGATTCAAGAAGATCTTGATGGGCCAAAAATGGAAGAAACCAGCAAGATCGAAGTCCAAAAGGGACCGATGCATAGCCGTGAGTAGGAAAACTCAAAGGAAGATGAGAGAGACCAGGTAGAGGGCAGAGCATGAGTGAAAAGGGCTACGAGGCCACCAAGAGGCCAGGCTCCATGGGACCCAATGCTACTCTGGACAGGGCATTTTCAAACCATGCAAGGCAACCTTCTGGCCACCAGCTACTTCTAAGAGCCGCTCATAAGACCCGCCTGAAGACTTCCTCAGAGTTTGTGCTTTCCCTGTATCCACCTAGGAGGGGCTGCCCCATCACAGCCTCTTCCTGGACGAAACAAGGAAAATACAAAGCTTAGAAATTGTACCCATCTTTTTAAAGCAGAAGCAAAGTAAAGATGAGCATAAAAAAACAAAGGATTATATTTTTCGCCCTCAAACAAAGAGGGTCTCTTGGGGTGTGTGTGAAGAAAACATGAGCTCCATTAAGCAATTTAAACCTTATCTTTCCTCACAAACCCTCCCTTCCCCATTGCAATGAGGTCAGTTTGTCTTAAGACCACATTACAAACCTCAATAAATGGTCTGAAGCTCCCTTTACTCCATTTTTTTGCAACTGCACGTGTGGGTTACGGATGCTCAGGGACCTCGTGCTCCAACGGATCACACAGAGACCTTCTGAAAGAAACCTGCCCAGGAGCTCCTTACCTGGATGCACCCGGGGAGCCTTGGCCGGGCGAGGAGGGGGCAAATCCAGCCCGGGGAGGGAGCCCCTTTTGTCCCCCGGGAGGGAAGAGAGGGATCCGCACCCTGCAGGTGACGCCAGAGCCGGATCTCCCCGAGGAAAACCTGGGAAGCCGAAGGGGGATCCGCAGCTCCCTTCCTCCTGGCGGTGGGGAGATCTCCTGGCTGGAGGGCGGAGGGAGATCAGCCCTACTCATCCCGAGTGGGATCCAGCAGCCTCTCCCGAGGGATCCAGCGCCGATCCTCCAAAGAAGCGGGACACGCGGAGGGAATTGGAGATCCAGCGAGTGGGAGGGTCGAGGCGGGGGCGGGGCTTCTGCTCACCTGTTGGGCTCCGCCCCCACCTTGAAACCCCACCCCTTAGCAGTCTCTGCTCCTTCCCCCTCTGCCCCTCCCCGATAATCTCCTCCCCTCCTCCCAGCCAGGACCACTTGCTCCAAAAGCTTGGGATAAAACAATGAAGGTAGAATAACGTCAAATTAAAAAGGAACAGGGGTGTGTGTGTGTGTGTGTGTGTGTGAGTGGGGTTTACTCTCAGTGTAGTGGGCCCATCTCCTCCCTACCTGCCCCACAGGGGTCCTTCAGTAGGAAGTGCCACACCTGCCTTGGGCAAGAAGGGAAAGGGAGCTCTTGGCTGCACCAACAGCGAGGAGGCAAAGTATGGGGCTTCCAAGGCGCTCAGCTCAACCCAACCCAGATTTCATGTCGGTCCCGCAACAAGCCAGCAGTGAAGGTCGGATGCCCAGACCAAAAGAGCGCCGAGAAAGACGGGCTCCTAATAACCAGGCAACACATGCCCACCCCCCCTTCGGCCTCCACACAAGAAGACTCCCCGAGGCTAAGCTCCAGGTTTCTCCCGCCGCTTCCAAGCAGAAAAGGGTTCCCTCCCTCCAGGCCTCGAAGCCCCTCCCCGGAGCCCGTGCGTGCTAGGCTCTCCTCACGGGGTGAGGGCATCTGCCGAGGAGGCCCCCACCCACCCACCCACCAGCAGGTCGGAGGAAGAGGAAGGGGCTCCAGACGCCCGGCTGTTGGGCTGAATCCCATCCTTAGCGCCGAGAGGGACAAGAAAACTGATGACGACGCCCCATTCCGGGCCTTTCACCGGGATGAACTGGACGATGAGTGTTAGGAATATAAGTCACCTAACACAGTGGTCCCCAACCTTTTTTGTACCAGGGACCAGTTTCAAGCAGAAACACTTTTTCAAGGACCAGCGGGGGGAGGGGGGAGATTCTATTTTCCATTCCCAAAACTTTATGTTTACCCTACAACTAGCATTAAAGACACCTGACTGCAGTCT